AGCTCCAGCCCCGCCACGGCTGTGGGGCTTGGGGCTGCTGGGTGCTGGGCCCCGCTGCGGGCTTGTGTCTCTGCTCCTCTGGCCCCAGTGCCTCTGGGGCCATGGGGCTTGGGGTTGCTGGTGCCTGCCCCCCTGCGGGCTGTGTCTCTGCTCCTCCATCCCCTGGCAGCGCTGACCAAGTAGGCCCAGAGGCCCTCCACCAGCGGTTGAGGCAGAACGCCTGCATCATCACCAGGCTTCGCTCGGCCACTTGGAACCTATATATGCAAATTAGCCGTCATCTTTGTTGGTGGTTAATTTGTATATCATGCTGATTAGCCAATGGGAAGGGTAGCAAAGTTACGGTTAATTACCATGTTTCTCTATTATTAGTTCGGATGTATAGAAATTTCAACTCTACTAATAGTTATAAATCTACCAGGCTAGAGAATTCATTAACTGCATTCCCCAAAGTAATTCTAATTCATGTTTCCTAAAACATATTTTTAACCCAGTCTCAAGCACAGTGTGATTTTGTTCTGTATTCTTTCCATTTCAGAAAGAAAAGCTGAAGTCCCTTTTGGTGGCTAAAGAAAAGCAACATGAAGAAAGCTTAAGAGCTATTGAGGCTCTGAAAAATAGATATAAATATTTTGAGGTATAGAAAGCTTAAATTATTTCATATAACTCATAATGGGTAGTATTAAAGGACTTGGAGTTAGACTTGAATTGTATTACCATTCTTTTCTTTATAGTTTAAATAAATTGACCTTAGATAGTTTTTTATTAAAAATTTCTGAGGTTGTTACATTTTGACAAAATTGTAGTAATTATGCCTTTTTCCAGAGTTGTTGTAAAGGTTAAATGACATCTTTGAAATTGACTAGCATATAACAGACATTTAGTTCAGTTCTAGTTTCTCCTCATTTCCATGCTAACCATTTAAAGACTTTATATATTTGCCTATAAACTTGCAATGATTATAATGGCAGTAATAACAAAGTATCATATCAGTGAATAGTGGTATTATCAGGATTATCTCAGAAAACATTCCATACATACATGGATTACGTAGAACACATTGGTGAAGAATAGGATGTTAATAAGGCTCAGATCACATACTCGTCTTTGGTTGGATCAATTAACTTTTAGTTTCTGCAAGGCCATGCTTTTTTTTTTTTAATTTTTTCTTACAAAGGGTATTACATATGTGTAAGGCCATGTTTTTTTAAAAAAAGACTTTATTGAAATATTAGAAAGCACATATGATCAAGTGTATAAGTTGAAGAATTTTTACAAATTCTTAGGATCAAGAAAAAGCATTATCAGTATCCAAAATCCTCCTCACACTTGCTTCCTTTTACTACTCTATGCACCAAGGGTGACCACTCTCCTGACTTTTAACTGCATAGATTCATTTTGCAAGGTCATAATATATATTTTATAAATGTCATTCATCACTGGGGCTCACTGAAGAGGGTGACCTATTTAGTGTGAATCTTCATCTTTATTGGGGAATATGGCTCCAAAGAACATAGCAAAGGTAATTTTTTCTTGATTTTTTAAAAATTTATATTAGTTTCAGACATACAGCAAAGTGGTTAGACAATTATATAATTTATGAAGTGATCCCCCTGATAATTCAAATACCCACCAAGTACCATACATAGTTATTACAATATTATTGACTTATGCTGTACTTTACATCCCCGTGACTATTTTGTAATTACCAATTTATAATCACCTTTTTCACTGTGTCTCCCAATGCTTTTCCCCTCTGGAACCGTTAGTTTGTTTTCTGCATCTATGACTCTGTTTCTGTTTTGTTTATTTTGTTCTTTATATTCCACATACAAGAGAAATCATTTGATATTTGTCTTTCTCTGTCTGATTTATTTCACTTAGCATAATACTCTTTAGCTGTAAGATTTCATCCTTTTTTATAGCCAAGTCGTAGTTCATTGTACATATGTACTACATCGTCTTTATCCCCTCCTCTGCTGGTACTGATGGGCACTTGGGTTGCTTCCATAGCTTCGCTATTGTAAATAATGCTGCAGTGAACATAGAAGTGCATATATCTTTTCAAATTAGTGTTTTAGGTTTCTTTGGACATATACCCAGAAGCAGAATTGCTGGGTCATAAGGTAGTTCTATTTTTAATTTTTTGAGGATTCTCTATGCTTTTTTCGTAGTAGCTGCAACAATCTGCATTCTCACCAAGAGTGTTCCCTTTTTTCCACATTCTCACCAATATTTGTTGTTTGTTGATTTATTGATGATAGTCATTCTGACAGGTGTGATATCTCATTGTGGTTTTAATTTTTATTTATCTGCTGATTAGTGACATTGAACATCTTTTCATATGCTTGTATGTCCTCTTTGGAGAATTATCTATTCAGGTCCTCTGCCCATTTTTTAAATAGATTGTGGGGTTGTTGTTTTGTTTGTTTTTTTGATGTTAAGTTACATAAGTACTTTATCAATTTTGGGTCTTAATCCCTTATCAGATGTATCATTGGCTAATATCTTCTTCCATTCAGTTGCTTGTCTTTTCAATTCTTTGATGGTTTTCTTTGCTGTGAAAAACCATTTTAGTTTGATGTAGTCCCATTTCCTTATTTTTCTTTTGTTTCCCTTGCCTGGGGAGATATATACGTATTGCTAAGAGATATGTCAGAGACTTTACTGCCCATCTTTTTTTCTAGGAGTTTTATGGTTTTGAGTCTTACATTTAAGTCTCTAATCCATTTTGAGTTTATTCTTGTATCTGGTGCAAGAAAGTGGTCCAGTTTTATTTTTTTGCATGTATCTGTCCCATTTTCCCAACTCCATTTATTGAATAGACTCTCTTTACCTCATTGTATGTTCTTGCCTCCTTTCCATATATTAGTTGACTATGTAGGCATAGGTTTATTTCTGGGCTCTCTATTCTGGTTCCTTGATCTATGTGTCTGTTTCTATGGCAGTACCATGCTTATTTTACTATTATAGTCTTGTATAATTTGATACCAGGTAGCTCGTCACCTTTAACTTCTTCTTTCTCGAGATTACTGTAGCAATTCGGGATCTTTTGTGGTTCCATGTAAATTTTTGGATTATTTGTTGTAGTTCTGTGAAAAATGCCATTAGCATTTTGATGGGGATTGCATTGAATCTATAGATAGCTTTAGGTGGTATGGACATTTTAATGATGTTAATTCTTCCTTTCTATTAACACAGTATATGCTTCCATTTATTTTTATTTTCTTCAATTTCTTATAACCTTTTGAGTACTGGTCTTTTACCCCCTTGGTTAACTTTATTTCTAGGTATTTTATTTTTTGATGCATTTGTAAGTGGGATTTTCTTAATTTCTCTTTCTGATAGTTCATTATTGGTAAATAAAAATGCAACCAATTTCTAAATGTTTATTTTTGTCTTGCTATGTTACTGAATCATTTATCAGTTCTGGTAGTTTCTTGAAGGAATTTTTAGGGTTATCTATATACTAAGAGCCCAGCGTGCCATTCAAAATTGCGTAGCGCCGCCCACCCTTGAGTCACTGGTTGGGCCCCACAGCAGCCGCAGCCGCAGCCGCAGCCGCTGTCATTCCGTATCTGCCTCCCTCTCTGGCCCTTGAAGCCGCACAGCCGCTGCTGATCAGGCCCTCCCCCTGTGCCGGCGTGCGAGGCCTCTGCCACCCCGCCCCCAACGCTGCGTGTGCAACCTCCTCTTGTCCAGTCGACTGGTTATGGTGTCCTGGTTAATTAGCATATTTCTCTATATTTTTAGATAGATAGATAGTATCATATCATGTCAGGTACAAATAATGAAAGTTTTATTTCTTCCTTTCTAATTTGGGTGTCTTTCCAATTTATTGCTTTTTCTTGTCTGAGTGCTGTGACTAGGACTTCTAATACTATGCTGAATAAAAGTAATGAAAGTGGACATCTCTGTCTTGTTCCTTATCTTAAGGAAAATACTTTGTTTTTCCCATGCAATATGATGTTAACTGGGTTTGTCATACATGGTCTTTATTATATTGAGGTATATTTCCTCTCTTCCCACTTTGCTGAGAACTTTTATCATAAAAGAATGCTAGATTTTATCAAATTCTTCTTCTGCATTTATTGATATGATCATGTGATTTTTATCCTTCATTTTGGTTATGTAGAGTGTCATGTTAATTGATTTGCAACTATTGAACCAACCTTGCATCCTAGAAACAAATCCCATTTGGTAATGGTGTATGATCTTTTTATATATTGCTGGATATGATATGCTAATATATTTTTGAGGATTTTTGCATATTTGTTCATCATGTATATTTGTAATGTCTTTGGTTTAGAATTAGGATGATAATGGCTTCATAAAATGAGCTTGGGAGTCTTTCCATCGCTTGAATGTTTTGGAATAGTTTGAGAAGGGTAGGTGTTAATTCTTCTTTCAGTGTTTGGTAAATTCAAATGTGAAGTCATTTGGGGACTTTTGTTTGTTGGGATTTTTTTGATTATTGACTTGATTTTATTGATTGTAATCAGTCTGTTCAGATTTTCCGTTTCTTCTTGATTCAGTCTTGGAAGACTGTATATTATTTGGAATTTAAAGATTTCTTCCAGATTGTCTAGTTTGTTGGCATATAATTGTTCATACTGTTTTCTTATAATCCTTTATATTTCTGTGGTGTCAGTTGTACATTCTCATTTCTGATTTTACTTGGGTTCTCCCTTTTTTTGTTGGTGAGTCTGATTAATGGTTTATCAATTTTGTTTATCTTTTCAAAGAACCAGCACTTGGTTGCATTGATCTTCTGTGTTGTTTTTTGAGACTGCACTTTGTTATTTACACTCTGATCTTTATTATTTCCTTCCTTCTCACTTTGGGCTTTCTTCGTTCTTTTTCTAGTTTCTTTAGGTGGAAGGTTAGATTGTTTATTTGACATCATTCTTGATTCTTGAGGTAAACCTGTATTGCTATGAATTACCCTCTTAGGACCAGCTGCCTCATGTTATTTGATTGGACAATTTAACCACTTACATTTAAAGTGATCATTGATAGGTATGAAGTTGTTGACATTGTATTATATTTACTTTTCTTTTGATCCTTATTTTTAAAGAAGTCCCATTAACATTTCTTGTAATACTTGTTTCTCTCTCAAAAAACAAAAAAATCAAAAAGCATATCCTCAGGTGAGGATTTAAAAAATGGACCATATTTATTGTGATCATCTATATCAGAATTGACCTATAGCTGTTAGTATAATATACACAAATATACCAACATGAACTACATCTGCATATCTTTACTCTTGAAGGTATAATTTTTAAAATTTATATGCTAGATTCTTTGTATTTGGCTTACTTGAAAAAAAGGAGCAATCCTAATATATTTTGATTCAGAGCATCTTAAGTTTCTTTGTTTTCCTTTTCCTGTTGCATTGATGGGTTTATTACTGAGTGTAGGTCTTTGCCTCAATTTCATTTCCCGCTATCTGTCTCCTTTTGCTTTCAAGAGTAATGGGTATTCTATAAATTCTGAAAGAAGTTAACATTAATATTTCACAGTTAATGAGGTAGGATTCCCTTTCTGCTTCCAACAGTGGTAAAGTAATATTGTACAAATGTGGCATTTCCTTCTTTGGAGAAAAAGAAGCAGCAAAGAATATGCATTGAAAGTTGTTTTAATTCATTTGGAGCTCACTTTTTTTTTTCTTTTGAGCTATACAGTTTTTCCTTGAAACACTTTGCTTTTATTAAAATGCTTAGTGAAACAGTTCATTCCCAACCTATCTCTCTAATTGTTGGTAGTGCTGTGTCTTTGTGGTTCTAGTAGAATAAAGCTTAGGAGAAACAAGGAATGTTGAAAATGTGGTTTTAGTGACTACATGGTTTAGAGCTAAAGTAGATATAAAATATAACAAAATGACGTATTCACCTAAAATGTTTTAATTTATACTTTTGATTTCAGAGTGATCATGTAGGATCAGGAAGTCATTTCAGTAACCGTAAGTATAAAAATGTAGATTATCATTACAATTCACCAAGTTTGATCAAAGAAGAATGCTTTGCCTATTTATTTTTGTCTAACTGTATATTCTACTCCTGCCGCTAAACGTTATTTAACTATTTGTGTGTTATACCTCAACACCTAGAACTGTTATAGCCTCTAACATAAAATCTGATCATCTCTGAGGCACTGACTTTCCTTAGCCCCTGTTTTAAAAACTGTATATAATATGAATTACCAAATTTGCCTTGTTGGTTAATAGACATTTATCTTGTGATATTTGGGATTTGTTTTTTATGGAAGTAAACATAGTTTTCTGATTCGGAGAAATCTTTTTATATAGTCCCAATGCAGGTAATTTTAAAATTAGTTAGAAGTCCCATAACAGTTACTTATTTTAAGACTATACTTAATTAATCTTCACTTTTATGTATTGTTTTTCAATTTTAAAGAGTTTCTCTAGAATATCTATTTTTTGCTTCCCATTGAATATTAATATTTATCCTATAAATTGCAAGAACATTTTTATTTTGATTAATTATAAGATACATATTTTGTAATGGTTACTAGCGGCGCCTGGTGCACGAATTCGTGCACAGGTGGGGCCCCTCGGCCTGGCTGGCAATCAGGCCGATCGGGGCCATCTTTCCCAGTCCCAATCAGGGCCAATTGATGGGGGCCAGCCAGCCAGGGGGAGGGACCATGGGATGTTGGCTGTGGGAGCACATTGACCACCAGGGGGTAGCTCCTCCATTGAGCGTCTGCCCCCTAGTGGTCAGTGCGTGTCATAGCGACTGGTTGACTGGTCATTTGATTGACCGGTCATAACCATTGCTTAGGCTTTTATATATAGATAGATAGATGTAGCTTTTTTAGTCAACAGTTTTATATATATAGTCATTGATTTCAGAGAGGAAGGGAGAGAGAGAGAGATATAGAAACATCAGTGATGAGAAAGAATCATTGATTGGCTACCTCCTGCATGCCCCCACACTGGGCATCAAGCCTGTAACCTTGGCATGTGCCCTGACTGGAAATCGAACTGGGACCTCCTGGTTCATAGGATGACACTCAACCACTGAGCCACACTGGTGGGGCACAGTGTTATATGTTTCTAAAAGGGAACTTACTATCTATTCAGAAGAATATGGATACTTCCCTGTGTACAAAGTAAAATATGAATATTTTAGAACAAGGATAATTTTATACTATAACTCATGCTTCTCTTCTGTTTGAAAAATAAAGGAGAGATAACACCAAATTAATACTTAGCCTACTTTGGTATGGATAATGAAGTTCATATCATTTATTTGTATTTATTTAGGAAAAGAAGATGTGCTTCTTAAACAAGGTCAAATGTACATGACAGACTCACAGGTAATACTATTTTTTTTAATTAAAAATTTATTAAAATATTTCAGCCTTTTATAAAAGAGAACAACTTGTATATTTACCAAGAATATATGCATTGGCTATGGTTTTCATCGTAAAAAAAGTAAGTTGGTCTCGCATTCTTAATTTTAATAAAAGTAGATATTGCTGTTTCTGGTGCCCCCTAGCGTGTTTTTGATGACAGTGGCTTAAATGAGAGATTTGAGTTATAACTTCATGGTTTTTACAGTAAGCCTGTATTACAGCAGATGGTTAACTCTTCATATTTTTCCATAAAAAAGGGAAGACAGGTATGAATAATTAAAAAGTCATTTGTTTTGACTTTGCAATATAATTTCCTTTGCTTTCAAATATGCTATATTTTAGAAATTCTTCTCAAAACAAATAAAGCTTCCACGAAGGAGTATTGTCTGATTTTCTTACCTGTTTATCTGTTCCACACTTTCAGTTTGCAGTAGAAACAAGGTTTACATTCCTAGTACGTCCTATGGACTGTAGAACTGATAAATATTTGAGCTTCAAAGACCTTTTTACATGCCTTCATCTGTGGGCAGAGTGAATTAGTGTACATGATGTCTAAGATCATCTTAAGCTGGAAACTTTCTAAGATTCTAAGTTGAGAGAATGGATATTCAGTCAACTGAATAGTACTGAAGTAGATTAGGTAATATTTAACCATAATAAAATAAGTATGGGAATTACAAAGCTGTGTAAATAACTTGTTGGTAAATTATAGTAGTCTCAGTCTAAAGATAATTGGTAAGTTGAATGATAATAAGCAAACTGAGGTTGGGAAATTATTTCATATTGTTAATTTTCTTCTTGATTCAGGAGAAGGCAGTGTAGATTGTACTAACAATACTAAAATAGTGGAATGTACTCATAGCACATTGCTTTTATCAATGAACTAGAGGCCCAGTGCATGAAATTCATACAGGGGGCGGTGGGGGGTGTCCCTCAGCCTGGCCTGTACCCTCTCCAATCCGGGACCCCTTGAGGGATGTCCAACAGCTGGTTTAGGATCGGGCCTAAACTGGCCGTCGGACATCCCTCTCACAATCTGGGACTGCTGGCTCCTAACTGCTTGCCTGCCTGATTGCCCCTAACCACTTCTGCCTGCCAGCCTGATCGTCCCCTGACCCCTCTCCTGCCAGCCTGATTGATACCTAACTGCTCCCCTGACGGTCTTATCGCATCCAACTGCCCTCCCCTGCCAGCCCGATCGCCACCAACTGTCCTCCCTGCTGGCCTGGTCACCCCACGCAGCGTGCTGTTCAGTTCTTTGGTCATCCCTCACTTAACCCCCCTCCTGGCCTTGTCCTCCCAAGCAGCCTGCTGTTTGGTCGTTACTGTGATGGTGTCCCAGACAATTTGCATATTCCTCTATTATCAGTATAGACTAGAGGCCTGGTGCACAAAAATTTGTGCACTTGGGGGGAAGGGGGGGGTCCCTCAGCCTGGCCTGTGCCCTCTCGCAGTCTGGGACCCCTCGGGAGATAATGCCCTGCTGGCTTAGGCCTGCTCCCGGGTGGCAGAGGGCAGGCCCAATCCCTAGGTGCAACCCCTGGTTGGGCTCAGAGCAGGGCCGATTGGGGAGTTGGGGCGCTGCTCCCTGTCATGCATAGAGCAGGGCGGCTTGGGCGGTTGTGATGCCACCCCCAGTCACGCTCAGGGTAGGGCCGATTGGGGGGTTGGGGCACCGCCCCCTGTCACACTCAAGGCAGGGTCGATGGGGATGTTGCAGTGCCACCCCCTGTCAGGCACAGAGCA